AGCTGACTAGCTCTTCCTCAGGGTCACCTACTCTTCTACTGAGGCTCCCACCTCCACAATGCAAAGCCTGGGGGGCTGGAGCGAGCCAAGTCTGTAAAGCCTTCATGCGCATAGTGACTTCTCTGAAGTATTAGACTTAACTGACAAGCGCTCGGAAACAAGCTTGTCTACTCTAACATTAGATTTTCTCCTCTACCCCAGGATAGGTAGGGTTTGTTTTTTTCTTTTTTTGGCATGCAGCATATAAAAAAATAGGATTTAGAATTGCAATTGTAAAATAATAGTCCCTGTAAAGAAAGCTAGTCTATGAACAGTCAGAACTGGCCTGTGGAAAACATAAGCTACGCCTTAAGAATGTGACCTGATTTCAGCCTGACTCTAACACTGATGATGGCACCACAGCCCATTTTTTGCTTACTGGGAATGAGTCAAAGGATGAGATAGACAGGGCAGTTTTTTTTGTTTTTTTTTTTTGTTTTTTTTAATGACCCCTGGGATTTATCAAGAAGCAAGACAATTTGAGAATTAAAAAAAAAAAATCAACAAAAATTACTCACTTCAGGTCATATATGATTACAATTTATGGATTCTCAGAGATGAAAATTTCAGTCCACATTAAACATTTTAAAGCCTACTTTCTAATATTCTGTTAAAAAAAAATCAAACGAACCCACACGTTGGTGGGGAGAATAGGTAAGCTCTCCAGGAGCCTCCCCTAAATAATACACAAGCATTATATTTTACAGTAAAACCACGTATACTCAGGCTCTGTTATTCAAATACATAATTAAAAGGGAGACCCACCAGTTCCTAAAGCATAAAAGAGTGATTTTAAGAAAATATCACATTTTGAGTTATGGTATACATTATCACATTTGTCCCTGTAATTTTTCACTTTTAACAGTGATAGTCTTAGCAGCAAAAACTTGCTGGGAATGTTAAGAAAAAAAAAACAAAAAACCCACCTGTATCCACTAAAAATAGATACTCTTGCAGGGAAGGGGCTTAAAAGGTAATCCAATCACTATCTTTCCACAACAGTCTCCACAAGCATGTGCTAGTCAAGTACTGCATCCTTATTACGGAAATGTTCCCGCAGATACCTGTGGGTTTACCATCCGGGCTGGTACCGAAGCAGCATGTGTGGCTAAGCTCTAACAGTGGGATTTGTTCCCTTTAATTCCTCATCTTTTTTACGAGTTAGATAGTGAACAGCGCAAAACCAGTATTACTTTAGTAGTACCAATCACTTGCTGACTATAAGTTATCTCTTAACAAAAACACATGAACATTCTCAATTCTCAAAAAAATGCAAAAACAATTGCCACTTCCTCCCTAGTTTGCACACGATAGCTAGGAGTTTGACCATACCCCCTAAAACAGTACACACCCCTCTCTGCATGTATTTACCCCAACTCACACACTGGGCCAAATCCTCCCACAGGAATCAGAAAACGTGGAGTATGAGAACCTCTGACAGACACTGGCCCAATTCCTTTACCTCAAGTACTGAAGAGTTCACTGAATTTAGTCTAAAAATGGCACACCCTAACACACACACCTGAAGACTGTAGTTTTTAGAAAGCAATCGTACAAGCCACAATTTCTTTGACTCCTCTAAGTCAAGAATACATTATGTACTGAAGATCGGAATCTACATGTGTGAGCCCGTGGGCCCAGACCTGAGCCTGTAAAGATTATCTGGTACCAGTATTAAATGATTCATGAGGAATGAAAGTGGAAATTTCAACGTTCTATTTTGCATCTAATGCGTGTGCCCAGTCTTCTAAGCTTGCCCGTGTTAGTTACCTGACGGCTCTGAAGACATGGCCTGGGTTTTCTGGGGGGACAACCAGGGCTCCCCTTCCATGGACAAAGTGATCTCTTACTCTTAAAAAAGCAAATGCGTATTTCAGATATCAAATGTATAATATGCGGTGAATAAAGTTAAAGGCAAACTTTACACAATTTTCTCCATTATCTTATTGTTTCCTAGTGAATGTACATGGCCCACGAGTAACCAAGCTTCTATGTACTAAGCAGCGTTTCTATCCATGGGGTTCATGATGGTGCACGTGACCACGGACATTACACCTCCCTTTCTATGGCTTCGCTCTGATTTAACGCTCTTCTCACGGGGTTTACTGTCCATGGTCTAGAAACAATAAGCTACCAAATTTGTGCTTTTAAAACCCATCCCTGGCAATCCCCTCTAATTGTCTTTAGGGGGACAAAGTAACAGCACCTCATGAGTAAAAATCACAACACCAAGTCTATAAAGCCAAAGAACTTTTCCACAGCTACTCATTTCATTTTAAAAGGAAAACACAGTTCCTGACTTACAGTGAAGCAGCCCACAGGGTCAGAGGCCAACAGATGCAAACAGAGGCTGACTAAGGCTGAAGGGACACTTGTGCTCACATCTCAGCCTAAGAACTTAGTGAAGCGAAGGACAAGCAGCTCAGCCACAGCGCGGCAGGCAGCACGGTTCATCGGCTAGGAGTGCCAGTCGCACAGGTCAGCCAGGCTCACAGGAGGGGAGAGCCACACAGGCAGGTCTTCGGGACGGAAGTGGAACCCCATCAGCAAGCCTGGCCAGTGGTGGCAGCGAGACCTGAAAATCCATGGATCAGAAAAGCCTTTGGGAAAGCTAATCGATACCCTGATTTCAGTCCATTAAGAAATCACTTACGGTTAGTTTAATAAACAAATGAACATTAAAAAGCGTCCCAAAAATGTCATTCCAATATGTTTTTCACATTAGACAGTTCTCAAGAAGGGAGAATACAGTTTCTTGACACTTAACATTTAAAAGTTTTATTGGCCATATTAATCTTCCTCACAAAAGTTTTCAGTTATCTGTAAGTTCTTAGAATGCAAAGTAAGAAGAGAAGAAAAACTGACTAAGTTGAAGGGCGGTAGGGGAAGCAGCAACTTGGCAATAATTTCTCCACTGACTTCGTGTGTTCAGGCATCCTTTTTCTCCAGTAAAATTTTGTGCAGCTCGTCTGCATCCTCACTGGTTTTTACCCGAATTAACATGGTGACTGGGATGGTGGCGTTCTTCTCATCCACTGGTGGGTTTGGGACACAGACAATGAGGACGTTGTTCTTCCCTGTCCGGGTACACGGCATGTTGGGTGCAATCAGAACGTTCAGCAATATGTTGCCTGCATTGAAACGACAACCCATCATTACACAGATGACGGCCCCTTGAGGACTCTGCCATATGCTAGACATCAGACACGAGAGGACTTGCACTTACTGCATCTAACATGGAAGCCATCAGGAGTGTGGCCAACAGGTACTGCTTCCCTGACAGATGCCAGTAGTGTTGGTAGTGTCCCCAGCAGGGAGGATGTGAGGCCTCTGGCAGGACCTGGCTTCACCGTGGAAGAGCTGCCTTTTGCCATCCCACCCATACCCTGACCAGCATCCCTAAAAGAGGTGATAACCTCACTCAGAATCATCAGGCCCCTCTGTACACTGTTCTTGAATCAAGGAAGAACATGCTGGCATGACCTGGCGTTTTCCTTGTGTTACACCAATGAAGGGCAGATAACCAGGAACCATCTCTGTCACAGGCCACATAGCTCACTGGGCAAGAGACATTACTGTGCTTTTATTACAAATTAGTCAAGCCCATAGGAAAGAACTTTCTTCCAGGACTTTCTGAAACAAAACCCTTCACCCTTTATCTGCTCCTCCTCTGTGGATCATTTTAAAGGTAAAACTGGGGGAAAATGGGGATAGACGGCAATGCATTAGTGATTACTTGATACATAAAAGATTCCTTTAAATGACTAGTTCCGCTTGGGACTTGACTAAACCATCCAAATTGTATCTACTTTCTTAGTCACATTTCTTAACACACAGGAAAGTGGACAGAACAAACATTTTGTCTACTTTCTGGCTACCAAATTTTTTTTTACATTTTTGCCATAGGGCACCGTGCACTTGCCAGAGACAGGGAGGGAAAGTGAGAAATCGCCCCCCAGTGGAGGTGGACACACTGCAATCCCTGCTCCTCCATTCTCCTCTCAGGATTTTGGGAATGCAGGTACATGTGCCACTGGGTCTGAGACTCGATCGGCAGCTGCCACCTCGGAGTTC